TTTGGTATTATGATCACTTGTCTAACGAAGGTACTTCAATTATTTTTTATTGGGTTTTTTTTATTTTTTATTATCTTGAAGGATTTATTGATGAATTCCTCTAAAGAAATGTTTTGATGAATTTATTATTGCTCGCGCCTCATTTTTAGATTTTTGGTTGTTAGAATTAAGATCAATATCTCAGACTGGGATAATTTCCTGAAATGAATCTCTTCTTTTGAAAAAAATGATTTACTTGAACAGGGTTTCAACAATTAAGGGTACACTTTTGAGCATGTTGCAGATTTTCTTCTTGATGTTTTTAGATTGTACAAGATTTCACCAAATGATAATAACTCGTGTCTTTTTGGACTAGAATTATAACTCTCTTATTTGATGTTTATTTTCCTGCTTCTTTTGCCCTGGACTGTGGATTTCCCAACCGGAAAATTATAATTAAGTACTGGTCCACACATGCGTGGAACTATCGCGTTATTGCCTGCAAAATACAAATTCAAGCCAATCTATCCTCCGACACGGCAATGGGGTAGGCACCATTCCCTCTTATATGTATATCGTACAAGTTCATAACTAAAAATTTATGACAAAGTGTCACTTAAATTCATAATGCTTTATATTATTGTACCCAGGTATTCTAGGCACTACCACACCAAAGGAACAAGGGAAGAATGATGCTAAGGAAGAAGGGGCTCTCAGGAAAGAAAAGGCTGATCCAATTTGTGTCATTGGAAAGCCTCCATCACTGCCCCCTGTTCTTGGACCACTTGTCGCGTTCTCACTATTGGAAACATGGATGAGTCGTGATGGAGATGATAGCTGACTGCTGGGTATGTATAGCTATTGATGCTTAACTGTTTGTGGATGAAACGGCCTTTCTACTTGGAAAGGAACTCTGATATTTGAATCAACAATTTGATTGCAAAGGCGAACAACTGAGATGCGAGAGTCCAAATTTTAATATATCCTGCTAGAAGTGGGTTGATGAAAGGTGCCAGAAGCATTGAATATATCTTTAGTAAGAATTGTAATATAACGTGTGGACTGTTTAAGAACCCTGCAGGAAACATGTTATCAGAAAATTTTAATGTAATGCTATGAATTCTCTTTTAAATATTGAAATGTGTAGAGGAGATGAACATACACACTGTAGCCTTTGGATATTCATCGAAAATGGAAGTCACATTCTTCAATACAGTCTGAATTCCTCGATGAGAAAATTAAACAGAAATACAATCATTGATAAATAGAATTCACTTCTCAAAGCAAAATCATCAGAAAAAGACAATCAACATTTACTATGTAATATTTGCACGAGTACCAGTACTATTCCTCCTGGTTTGATGGGTGATTCGATTAAAACCCTCCCTTCACTGCATTTAGAAAGTGTGTTTGTTAGTAAAAGAGTCTTGGTTGGTGAAAGAGATTCCCACCTCATAGGGTGAATCTGTTTATGCAGTACCTTATAACTAGTCTGCCCTCTTCTTTTTTGCATTTATAGAAGCTGCATCCTCTGGTGAAGGGGATTTGTGATCCTTTCCATTCTGCCATCGGTAAGAGGACCCTCGACAAGTTAAGAATCTACGAGAAGAAACTGTATATGTAAAGCGTACCAACCAGATGGTGATAGCAGATGATGTTACCTAGGTGCCAATTTACTGCAGCTGTATATTCATATCCTTCACAAACACCTTCAATTTTAAACTTCACATGCTGACCCAGGCTCCTTGAAAGTTGGTCGAAGAAGTTAATAGCATCCTGTATTATTCAGTGTCAGCACTTCTTGGCTTTAGTTACACATGTTTCTTTGAAGATTAAAGTTTATTTCTTTTATTAGGAAGCTTTGAAGATCAAAGAAGCTACCTTTTTCCCTTGAAATGGCTTTGCAAAAGAGCACTCCTCAATATAGCAGTCTTCTGAGAAAAACTCTTTCAATTGCTTCAAATTCTTGTTGTTAATGGATTTGTAGAACTGTGTTATTGTGTCAGATGCAGAAACTGGAGCGAGTTCGAAACTGACATCATCTGCAGATGACATGATCAAATGTAATCTCCGGCTGTTGAACAATTGGCGATCTTTCTTTCTCCTTAAGGTTATGTGATGCTGCAATATCTTCATTTCATTCTTTTCAAGTAGATATGATCTTTTTAAGGGCAAGGAAGCAAAAGTTAGCCTTGCCGCGTTTTTGTAGTTGATCGTCTGCAATGCATTTTGGCCTGGGAAATTGAGAGAAGCCGCCATCTGCTGGTTACAAAGAGGAGAAGGACAGAGGATTATTAGGGTGTTGAATGTTTCTAAGAGACACAACTGGGGAGAATTAATAGCATTGAACCATCTATTACCGAGTGCAGCAAAGAATAAAGTGACATGTTTTGGCTTGTTAACATGGTTTCTTGGACATTCTTTCATGTGCTTAGGGTTCTGTTCCTTGTCTGTGTCTTCGCATGAAATCCAAGTATCTTTAGGACTTAAATCTTTTCTCTTTTTTAAGTATCCTAATATTTGTTTGTGAAGAGAATGTGTAATAAAGTTGATACTGAGTTAAAAGATTGTTTGGTCCTCTTCATGAAACCCAAAATATTTTACGAAGAGAATGTGTAAATATTGAAGTGATGTCATCATAAAATCAAAAGATCTAGAAACTTTTAGGTCTCTTATTTTTAGATTGTCATTCTACGTGCATATATGCATATAGATATATTAGTATATATGTATGTATGTTTGCTTGTGTCTATGTACCCGCATACAAACAATGTTCCACAGTGTCTTCTATATTGTGATTAGGAAAGCATCAGTTAGTTTTTATCCATTTGGTAAAAAAAAAAAAAAAATTTAAATTAATTTAACTTAGCCTTCATGATTGATCGAAGTAATTGACGAACAACAAAAAACTGAAATCGAACTGATCAATTTTAATCACAAAAAATTCGAATTTCACGATAAATTTTTTTTTCTCATATCTTATGTAATTAAATTTCATATACTAATAAGTTAATAGTAATATAACATTGTATATTGTTTTACATTTTTCTTATTTTATTGTATATAATAATTTATTTATTGAAATATATACACACACATGTATAATTATTTATGTACACTTATAATAGAACTGGGCAGTGTTCCTGGGTGCTATTTTTTTTAATCGATTTTGGCAGGGTAGAATTTCAGATGGTAAGTTAGGTAACAAATATATGATATTTATTTATTTTAATAGAAACTCTGTATTAAAAATTTAATTTGTCAATTTAAAATAATAACACCGATTTACATTTTAAAATTGTAACTTGCCTTAAAATTTAAGTTTGTGAGATTATTTACAAATAAAATTTACTATTTAACTTATTCGAGAATTTAGTTTATAATACTTCTTATTTGAGTCAGAAATTGATACTAAAACTTAATGTAAGCTATAAATTATAAATTTGTGATTTCAGATAGTAACATTAACTTAGAACTTAAATAATGATTTAGGTCCGGATTTGAAATGGTCTTGAAATAAAATTTAAAATTTACTTGAGTTAAATTTAAAATGTATGACTTTAAATTTTACATTATCTCACTGTAAATAAAGATCGTAACTCATAAACTAGATCTATGATCCAGAGGATGTCCCTTACAATGACCTTGAGCCAAGAACATGTCCCAGTATAGGTAAACAATTGTTGATTTTTATAATTAGGATGTTTCAAATATAAATTTTGTAAAATTCACCTAAGAAAAAAATAATAATAATAAAATTGGAGTTTGGATGTAAATAAAAATTTTTTTTAAAATTTGAAGATTTTAATTAATTTTAGGGACCTAAATGAAAGTTGGTAGGAAAAAGGAGGGTAAAAAATATAAATAAGAAGAAGTTGAAGGGGGCAAAGGAAATAAGGAGAATAGATGGCCCAGATCAGACCGCTTGAGGAAATCAGATGGAGGAGATTTAAAAGAAAATGAACCGTCCAGATCGAGTCATGAATATCTAACGGTTGAGGGAACAGATATAAACGGGGAAGAGATTAGGTTTTTTCATTTTGAGAGGAGAAGCCGAAAAGATGAAAGGAGAAAGAGAGAGAGAGGCGATCGGGGAGATGAGGAAGAAGACAATCGTACGGGGAAGCCGAGAGAGAGAAAATAGAGAGGAAAGAAGAGAGAGGCCGGAAGGGAAGAGGGGAAAGGAAAAGAAAAGAGAGAAAAAGGGAAGAGAAAGGGAGTGGCCAAGCGAGAGGAAGGGAAGCCGAGAACGTCCACGCAAGGGGAGAGGAGAGATAGAGAGAACTGCGAAGGAGGAAGAAAAAGAAAGGGAATCACGGCCGAGGAGCATCGTGTGACGGCAGAATCCAAACCTGAGGCTATTCGAGTTTTCGAGCACCGGACCTGAGTTAGGTGCATTCCTTTTCTTCTTTCGGTTTGTGCTTTTGACCAAATAAATGTTCATGTATGTGTGTGTCTGTAGGTTTATGAGCTAAAGGACCGCAGGGTGACTGATAGGGGGCAACCGGGAGCCAAGCCGAGGCCAAATCGCCCACGCCAAAAGGTAAAATAAATTTTTTTTTAAGTTTTGGGTGGTTGAGCAATGGTGGGTCGGTGTTGGTGTTGGGCTGGCCGCACAGGCTCGGTTGGGCCACCTACCCGTGCGAGAACTGAGGAAGTTTCCTTGGAAATGGGGAAAGCCGACCCATTCGGGAAGTCGAAGGGTCTTCTCCGAGCATGAGAACTCGATCCACCATTTTGGAGTTCCGATTCACCGTTCGAGAAGCTGAAAAGTCTTCATCGGAAAATGAAAATCCAACTTGAATCTAAAAAGTTTTTTCTCGAAAAACGTAAATCCAATTCGCCGAACGGGGAGCCAAAAAATTTTTTGGATATGAATTCTGATAATTTCAGGTGTTCCGTTAAGTGGTCGTTGGAACCCGTAATTTAATTAAATTAATTTTTAGTATTTTAATTAATTATGTCGTGTGTACAGAAAAATTTAGACATTCAGCCAGATCTGGGAAGACACATAGGAGTGTAAGTATTTTAACATCTAAATCGAATTAAATTTCAAAATGTGCATTCATTTTATAAAAATTATTAATTTTGAAAAACAGAACCCAAATTATGATCAGTAAACTTAAGCAATTAGAACTCTATGAGGAGATGAAACCAGAAAATAAACCTAATGGACTGAGAGTTATTTGAACTGACTTATTTAGACTGATGAAATATGAAATTGAAAACAAAAATTCCCAATTAAGGAAAAATTTAAAAGGAAAAAGAAATAAAATAAAAAAGGTAAAAATAGAAAGAAAAAGAAATAATTGAGGTTAAGAAATGATCATTTAAACAAATTAAGAATTTTGGAATGAGAGAGTAGGAGTGAATAGGGTAAGGACCCTGAATACCTTCCCGTTTAGTCTGAATAGAGGAGGAAAGTGTGTGTGTACTGAAGTTCAGTGGGCATGGTGAACCTGCATATGGATAGAGTCTGAAGCCTAATCCAGACGTGGATAGACATTCGTGTGAGTGTGGGTCACCTAGCGAACGTACCTGTTGTGGTCATTGTATGATTTGTACGTGTGTTATCCATTCGATGGGGGGGATTCATTTCACATTTTTTCGATGATGACATAAACGACATCGCATGATGAAACCATAGAAATGACCGTTCGAGTGTATCTGTAATATTTTGTGTGTGTGTGATTATGTTTTGAGATTATGAATGATATTCGAGTGTATCTATATTCTTTTGAGAGTATGAAGATATACATTTGAGTTTTGTATGTGATATTCGAGAGAATTCATCAGATCGATAAGGGACATGTGAAATAGTGAAAATAAGAACATGAATTTTGCACTGAAATATTTTTATTGCTTTTGTTTCTTATCGTGTGTTTTACATGAAATTTTATCTGGGTTGAGAGAATATGAATACTTATTGAGTTGGTGAAACTCATTAAATTTCACCTTGATATTTTTTAGAGGAGAATGAAGAGTCAGCATCGCTGCCAGACGAGTAGAACCTATAAAAAAAGTTATTGTTTTTGTATATTTTGTGAGTATTCGAAAAGTTTTATTTTGTACTGTTAGACTCTAAATTCTGACATCATGTTTGTATATACAGTTATTGTACATATCACATAGGACGTCAGATTGTATTATATTTTTAATTTATGCATGTATATATTTTATTAGCCCACTGCATGAAAATAACATGAGCAAGAATTGCGCATCATATCGAGTATCGGGCGTGACAGGTTGTATCAGAGCCCACATTCCTAGAATCATCCCTTGTGCATGAGGTTTTAGAGTTTAAATATAATATTTTGCAACTATTTGGGTGTTGAGAAGTAGGAAACATTATTTTGAAATGTTCTAATTCATTCTTTTTTGAATGAAGTGTTATAAGATGAGACGTGGACGGACTCTACCGGAGCAACCTCCCAAATAAATGTTTTTACATGAGCATATTGACTGGCTATACCACATGGTAAAAGAGCCTGTTAACCAGTCTAGAGAAGGGATACCTAGCCCTCCTCCAGTACTGGCTCCATACACTTCAGAACCAGTCGTTATGGATCCAGACTGTCATAGAAAGTTCTTGAGACTCCATCCTCATACATTTGCTGGTACCAAGAATTTTATTAAAGCTGAAGAATGGTTAAAAGGAATTGAAAAGGTATTCAGAGTTTTAGGGGTGACTTCTGAACAGAAAGTTATCCTAGCTACGTACCTGCTTGTGGGTGAAGCTGACCGTTGGTGGGAATTCAGACAGACTACCTTACCTGTTCCCATCACCTGGGAGATATTTCTGGGGGCGTTCAACGCCGAGTACTTTCCAGCACGACTCTGACACTAAAAAGTGTTAGAGTTCATGTAGCTTACTCAGGGAAACTTGTTAATGGTTGAATATGCTCGAAGATTCACTGAGTTAACCCATTTTGCTCCAACCATATTGACTGATGAAGGATAGAGGGTGAGAAAATTTCAGTGGGGGTACGTCCAAAGATCTAGGATGCTCTTGCAGTTCTAGAATTGAAGACCTATGATGAGGTTTTGACGAAAGCAGAAATAGTAGAAAGTAGATTGAGAGGTTTTTCTTCGGGAGCATGCAGTTCTAGACCCTCAGTACATCCGATAAAACAGATTTCAGGGTTTAGTTCACAAGATAAGAGATCCAGAATAGTAACTGAAGTATCTTCTAGACCACCATCATCTCCTAGTAGGGCATCGACCTGTCGTACTTGTGGAAAAAAATCATGGTAATAAGCCGTGCCATCATGTCACTCGATCCTGTTTTAAGTATGGTAGCTAAAAACATCTGATCTGTAACTGCCCATTTATGAAAGAACAACCAGAAGCTCAAAGACAGAGACGAGTGTACACACTTACTGCAGCAAATGCTGAAGCGAACCCAGACGTGGTTCAAGGTACGTATCCTGTCTCAAAGAGCCTAGCTCAGGTATTAGTAGATCCTAGTTCCACACACTCATTCGTGTCATACACTTTTGTACCATGATTGAGTGTTACACCTATTTATTTGGGGCATATCTTAATGATATCTACACCAAGCATAGAGGTATTACTTTCTGATGTTATCTATAAAAGTTGTATAATAGAGATAGCTGGTAGGGGAATTAAAAATAAATTTGGTACTTTTAGATGTGAGGAATTTTGATGTAATTATATGAATGGACCAGCTAGCAGCTCATTACGTGACTTTAGATTAACGTAACGAGAAAGTTGTATTTAATATCCTTAAGGAAGATGTTATTTACCACGTAGTATAGTTATATAATTTATTGAGCATAACATGTAAATGTTGACGTGGTAGGTGATAAAAATAAGAAGGTTGATTTTTATGATGTGTTGGTAGTGCGTGAGTATCCAGATATGTTCCCTGGCGAACTTCCAAGATTATCTCCAGACCGTGAAATATAATTTTCCATTAATCTACAACCAGACACCCAACCAATCTCCATTGCTCCTTACAGACTAGTGAGAGTTGAAATGGAAGAATTAAAGAAGCAATTAACAAAATTTCGAGAGAAAGGATTCATTCGCCCTAGTGTTTCTCCTTGGAGTGCTCCTGTAACATTTGCCAATAAGAAAGACGGAATCAAGCGAATGTGCATTGATTATAGACAACTAAACCGGGTCACCATCAAGAATAAATACCCTTTGCCCGGAATTGATGACCTATTTGATCAATTACAAGGTGTGCAGATATTTTCCAAGATTGATTTACGATTTGGTTACCATCAAGTGAAGATTAAACCCGAGAATATTTCAAAAACCACCTTTAGAACCAGGTATGGCTATTACGAATTCTTGGTCTTAACTTTTGGATTGACGAATGCCTCAACAGTATTTATAGACATGATGAATTGGATGTTTAAGTCTTGGTTAGATCAATTTGTTATTATATTCATAGATGATAGATTAATTTATTTCAAGAGTCGAGAAGAACACGTTGAACACTTAAAACAAGTTCTGAAAACTCTTATAAAATAAAAGTTGTATGTAAAATAGAGTAAGTGTGCATTCTGTCTCGAACAGATCGCTTTTTTGGGTCATGTAGTTTCTAAAGACGGAATATCTGTAGATCCAGCAAAAGTTGAGTCTATCGTGGGATTGGAACATCCCACTATGGTAAAGGGTGTTCGAAAATGTTTGGGTATGGTTGGATACTACTGCCAATTTGTGAAATAATTCTCTAAGATTGCAGCCCCTCTTACCCAGCTTACTAAGAAGGATGTTAAGTTTGAATAGAATTTAAACTGTGAAAATAGTTTCAGAGAACTCAAAGACCAACTTGTGACGGCTCTAATACTAACACTACCTAATGGATTAGGGGGTTTTGTAGTACATACTAATGCGTCAGGCCAGGGTTTAAGATGTGTGTTAATGCAATATAGCAGAGTCATCATCTATAAGTCGAGACAATTAAAAAGTCATGAACGAAATTACCTGACCCATGACTTGGAATTAGCTACAATTGTTCATGTCCTTAAGATCTGACGTCATTATCTATGTGGAGAGATGTTTGAGATTTATACTGATTACAGAAATCTTAAATATCCCTTTACATAGAGAAAATTGAACATGCATTAGCGTAGATGGATAGATCTTTTTTAGGACTATGATTGCAAGATATCCTACCATCCGGAGAAATAAAATGTGGTGGTTGATACATTGAGTCGCAGTACCTCCGACATGATTGCAAAGCTAGTAGCTTCTGAATACAAGATTCTAAAGACCTTACAAGAATTACAATGGGGTATTCACAAACAGAGAATTTATATAGTCAGCTTGAGAATTGAGCCAATATTAATTCAGAAAATTAAAGATGCTCAAGAAATTGACACTACTGTAGGGACCTTGAAGAAAGAAATTGAACAGGGTTTAAGGTCTGACTTCAGAGTTCACGATGATGGGCTGCTTCGATTTAAAGGAGGATTGTGCATTTCGGATGACCCTAACTTGAAGAGACTCATATTAGAGGAAGCACATAATTCTAAGTTTATCATACACCCAAGCATCACCAAAATGTATTGGAGTCTCAGTATTGGTAGATTGAGATAAAGAAAAATATTTTCGAATTTGTTAGTAAATGTCTCACATGTCAGAGGATTAAAGCCGAACACCAAAAGTAAGGGGATTACTTCGACCCTTACTAATTCTAGAGTGGATGTGGGAACACATCACTATGGACCTTGTGATGGGTTTGCTTAGGACTAGATTGAACCATGATACTATTTGAGTGATAGTGGACCGATTA